TGAAAGTTATAGTTTTAATAAATTTTAAATAAAGCTAATCGCGTAGCGTTTTAATGATCTTAAAACGTAAAGCTTTACGTAATCGGTCTTCGTCTTTGATTTCGGCGGTAGCGGCAAGCTTTAAGAAAATAAAATAAAAGTTTTAAAATTGCTAGTTAAGTTTTATATAAAGTTTTTCGAATTCAATTAACGCTTTAGCCTTTTCAACGAAGTCGTTTAAAAACTCGAAAGCGATCTGAACGAGTTTCGAAGCGATTACGAAGTTGCTACGATTTATAATTAAAAAAGCTAAGAATAAGTAAGCTGTCTTTTCGATTTAATTAAAGACGTAGTTCTTGCGTTAGCGTTTTATAAAAAAGTATTTTTCGAAAGCTTTTAAGTTGTCGAAGACGCGGGCTTGCTAATAGCGTGCTCGATAGCTTATACCGTTTAAAAGCTTTTGTTTAAGGTTAAAGATCCGCTCGATACGAGCGCGACTTTAAGAAGCTAAAAAAGAAGCTTTAAAAGTATTGAACTTAATTAAAGTGCGAAAGTTAGTTAGCTTGTAAAGAGAAAGTAGTTTATCGTCGTCGGCGAAAAGGCGGCGAAAGTTAGCGGTTTTATAAGTAAAGAGAGTAATCTAAAAGACCGAGGGCTTGTATAGCTCTTTGCTTTTAAAATTATCTTCGAAGGACACTTAAAAAGGCTTTGACGAGCGCTTCGTAATTAGCAAGACCGCTTAAAGCTGGTCTAATTCTTTTCGAGCTCGACGGGCTTCTTTTTTAGCTTTTTTAACGAAGGTTTTTTATTCGTTAGCGCTTTTATCGAGCTTTTCGTTACGAGTTTTCATATTTGCGAAAAGCTTTTTAAGCTTAGCGGCTTTTCGTTAAGACTAAAAGAAAGCTTAGTATTAAGCCAAAGCTTTTTCGAAGTTAATAAAAGCCGAAGGATCATCTTTATCGTTTTGCTTACTAATAGCTTCTTTTTAAGTAAAAAGAACTATTAGTTGGGCCGTGAAAAAAAAGGAAAGAGCTATTAAAGCAGCTTTAAAAAGTGTGCGAAAGATTTTGCTCGCGGGGCGAAGGTTGCTGTGTTATATAAGTGCTATCTTTTAAGTTATACTTAAAATAAGCTTTCTCGTGACCGTTAAAGTCGTTTAAGTATTTTAACGTTTAACTACTAAAGAATTTTAAAAAAGAGGAATATTATTAAAGCCGTTCTCGGCGGAGTAAAGTAGTTATTAATAATATAACGACTTTAAGCGATTACTTAAAAGAACTTACGAAAGCGCGAAGGTTTATATAAAAGCTTAAGAGAATCTTAAAGTAATGACTTAAAATTAACAACTACCGAGTGTAAAAGTCGAAGGTAGCTAAAGTCTATATATACGAAAGTAGAAGCGCTAAAGACTCGTGAACTATAATTTATAAGTCAAAAGCGAGGAATAAGGGAATACGAAGAATACGAAGGAAAAAAGGAAGGAAGTAGCTTGGCGCATATGAGGTGCGTCTAGGAGACCTGGCGTGTCGTCACATGCGGAAGGCAGCCTCGCACCACGACCGGGCGAAGCAAGGTCTCTTCTGGCCCCGGAGCTTGCGGAGGGCAGCCAGAGGCAAGACCTTGTTTTTAATATTATATTCGAAAAATCCGCATTCGCTTCCGATCCGCATTCACTTACGCCGACTAAGACTGAAAGGATATAAGGAGGCAGATAATATAAGGAAATAAGATGATGGAGCAACGTGGTTGTTTTTGTTGGAAGCTCAGAGCAAGCGTGAGGCTGCTATACCATATACCTCTCTTGGTAGTCTGTGCCACTTATAATAGCCTGGTGGCCTAAGGCCACAACAGAGGCCTACCTAAGCGAGCCGTCGAGCCGACGATTAGAGCGCGACCGGCGATCCAACAGATAAATCCTTACGTCACATCTATTTCAAAGCACTCACTTCCGCGTTACACGGTCTTCGCATTCATTAGATAAAATTGATCTATTCTCTTATACGAAATTGATTTTTTATAAGTTAAAAATAATCAAGAATCATAGACTAATTTTAGTACTGTGGAAGGGAAGAGCTCCGACATATTCCTAACGTCAAATCAAGAGATATATATATATATAGTCATGGTAGAATCGTAGGTGAAGAGGAGGGGAAAAGAAGGACGTTCGAAGACACTCGATTGTATTCTGAGGGGGCTACGATTCTTTACTTATACGAGGTGCCCTTTACGAACCTTCAGTTCTTTTTCTTTCTTTCTTTTACGGTAGAAAAAGAGATAAAGAGTCTGGAAAGCCGAAATTGAATCATCGATATACGACGAATCTTCGAAAAGATTTTCTTTTACCGGCGATTCTAAACCTCTTTCTTTTTTTTTTTTCTTAAATACTACGCCGATTACGATTTATACTCAACGAGCATACCGATTGAAAAGACCAAAAAGATTTGCGATAAAAAAAGAACGTGTATAAAAGATGAAATAAAAAAGGCTTAGTTCGATTAATCGAAAACACGGTATTGCGCTTTCGAAAAAGCGTTTTGCAAATACACCGGCTTTATTTAAAAGCTACGAACGCGTGCCTTTTTAGCTTTACGACGAAAGAGAACGATGTTTGTATTATACGGATCGAAGCCGCTCGTAAAGCTATACGTATTCGATAGTTGTCGAAAGAAAACTCGACGCATATCATTATAAATTGCTTTTAAAAGGTTTATAAGTGTTCAGCTATTTGACGAAAGGTTTTCCTTAACGAGGTTTTTACTCTCGATTAGATAATACTTTATATATAATTCTTTTACTTAGCACGTCGCCGTACCTTATAAGAGGTCCTTAAGGTTTAAGCATTGCGTTTTGAATACCCGCCCGACGTTAATAAATATAACAACAACAACAAATCGATTGTATTCTGTATATATATGTGTTGTGTGATGCTGGCTCAGGGAGGAACCAACTACTCGTTTATATAGGAGTATGCACGTGACCCTACAACGTGCCTAGCAAAGCAAAAGCATGCGATGCACCCACGTAACAAAGGTGCTTAGCAGCAGTACTATATACATGGACAAAACAAATACAGACCCTCAACTCCACCACAGTACTAAGTAAACTATAATCTTACTTATTGCGATACACAAATGAAGCTTCATTAATTTGACGTTTGTTACCGGCAAACCAACACTTAATAATAGTAATAATACTTTTGAATCTTTTGAATAAGCTCTTTTTGTATCGTATAGCTTGCTTTTCCAAAAACAGTAACGAACCGTCTTGCAAACGAAGAACTGAACTTTTCACAAATAATGCGAAGCTCTTGCTTATTTAAGTAGCTGTAAGAAGTATTAAGATCTTATTCGAATATTAAAAAAACTTATTGCCTTCTCCTTATTCAATAGCATCTACGCGTAGCTTAGGTATCGAATAGTTAAGATTTTTATATATTCTTTTGCGAAAACGTTATTTAAGTATTAAGATATACTTAACAAGCGTTCATACTAGCTAGCGATAAGAAGAAAGGAATATCGCCTATCAATCTGTACGCTACGTTATATGAAAGAAAGACGAAAAAGAAAAGAATTATAATATAGGAGGCCGAGGTCTTACATTATAGACGGCCGCTAGCTTGAGCAGCCGCTAGCCTCGGCTGACTAATCCAACCCTAATCAATCAGCCCCTTGCCAGGACCGTAACAGTTCCTGCTTAAACGCAATGACTGCTTTATACCTTTTACGCCGTTTCCATTTGGCTCAGCTTAAAGCCAAAGGGCTAGTACGTACTTTATTTCTTTAATTGGAAGCTTATAACGAAGGTAAAGATGATTGTACCGAGCTGGAAGGCGATTGACTTATGCTTGCGACTGCGAAGACGCAGTTTTTGGGAGGGGGGTAGTGTTACGGTCCCGGCAAGGGGTTCTGGTTGACTAGATTGATTAGCCGAGGTCATATAACATCCCGCCTCAAGGAATATATATACCTTCGGACTGGTATTGTAGTTCTTTACTTCCTTCGTCTTTCTTTCAGACTACGTAGCGTACAGATTGATAGCTACTACAATACTACCTTTCCTTGGCTGTAACATCTATATTTGGTTATTAAGTTATGTACTCTCCCCTCCCATGAATAAATGTCGAAAGTATAATTTCACAAGGGATCTTACCAAGGCTTGAACCAATCAACTTATTAGGATTCAGCTTTGAAAAGTATTCATAGGGGGGGGAGAGTAGTTAATATTTAATTAAAATATATATCTGACTTCCTCGCTATTTTAGAAGCGACGCGAGATATAGTAGTGATTGTTTCGCAGGATATAATTGTTTCGCCCCCTTTAAAGAAAGGCCCTTGAAGTTGCGACGTCAAGTCCTACTATTACAACTTCACTTATAACACTCCATCCCCCTCCAGAAGTGGTTCTGTAGTTTTGGACATGGTCAAGCGATTAATATATTCATCAGGATACCAATCACTCGATACACATTCTGAGCGATTCTTTTTTTCCCTTGTCAGCCCTGTTCATCGGGTTACTTTCTTCCTTTGCCTTCGCCTGTCTGGAAAAATACTACGTATCGATTGGTTCGCTTATCTTACGATATCAAAGTTATGATGCTCCGTATTTCCAGGGGAAATGCGTGAGGTAAATGATATAGGCTAAAGAGACATGCATATACTGATCCTCGCTATCGGCACGCGGGGTATATATACGCGGATTAAATGCACATTAACCGCGCTTCCTCCCCTTCTCTTTGATACAGTATCGCGAATGGATAAGAAAGGGGGTGAGCGGTAGATGGCAGGATGGGACGGAGAAAATAATCGTAAGGAAAGAAAATGCGATCAATCGATCCGGGATTTTCTTATCTGTCTGTGTAATTATATAACCTTTCTTCTTTCCTGCTCAGTACCTGAGTATTTCAAGGGGCCGTCTGTCGCTGCACTACCTTCATTCACTGAAGCCCAGAAGCCCAGATCAATTCCATTCATTTATTCTTTTTCCCACTCCGGCGGCATCTTTTTTTATTTATTTTTTTGGAGATGGTTGCTGCCTTTTTATATTCGCCCCGGGCGATAGTCGCCAGCTCTCTGATCTTCTTCCCTCTCACATCCGGAGCACAGCTTTCTCCGCCGAACTCCGCATCCGTTCCTTTGCGATTGTGGGATTCGGCACCGGCCGGGGGCTTCAGCGATTCGTACCTCATTGGCAATGGCCGCATTGGAGCGGCCCTCTCAGGATCAGCTCAGAAGGAGTATCTGGGTCTGAACGAGGATTCTCTCTGGTCGGGAGGGCCGATAGATCGCGTCAACCCCGACGCGTCGGCGTGTAGGTCCCCTTCTTTCTCTTCTCACCACCGTGGATGCGATCAACGTGAGACGGGACTGATCCATGGTGTTCTCAGACATGGGCAACATCCAGTCGTCGGTGTCCAAGGGCCGATTCCAAGAAGGGCAAACCACTGCGTCCTTCGCTTACGTCGGGAATCCGGTCTCCGCCAGGCATTACGACTACCTCGGTGAGCTCCAGCTGGTCATGAATCACGGCACCAAAGTGACCGGGTACGAACGCTGGCTGGATCTGCAGGACAGTACTGCCGGCCTGCAGTACAGCGTGGACGGGGTCACGTTCCAGCGCGAGTACCTCGCGAGCAACCCAGCCGGGGTCATGGCCATCAAGATCTCGGCAGACAAAGCTGGCGCCGTGGACTTCAACATCCTCCTGCGCCGTGGGGGTACACTAAATCGCTGGGTCGACTATAGTGTCAAGGTCGGGAACGACACGATCGTGATGGGTGGTGGTAGTGGAGGCGTGAAACCTGTCGTGTTCGCCGCGGGGGCCAGCGTTGTCGCCTCGGGAGGGAGAGTCTACACCATTGGCGACTATGTCAAGGTGGAGGGCGCGGACGAGGCATGGATCTACTTCTCTGCTTGGACCGACTTCCGCAAAGAGGATCCCCGGGCCGCAGTGGAGAGCGACCTGAAGTCGGTGAAGTCGCAGTCGTACAAGTCCATTCGCGAGGCTCATGTGGAAGACTACCAGAGTCTGGCGTCGCGGGTGTCCATTGATCTCGGGACTTCGTCCGCAAAGCAGAAAAAGGACGCGACTTCGGCTCGCGTAGCTGGGCTGGGGGCGGCTTTTGATCCCGAGATTGTCGCTTTGGCGTTCCAGTTTGGGAGATACATGCTGATTTCGAGTGCGAGACAAGGCACCCTGGCGCCGACTTTACAAGGCATATGGAACAAAGACCCAAATCCTCAGTGGGGGTCGAGATACACGATCAATATCAATACGCGTAAGAATCCTGCTGTATGTTCGTCGCGTGTCGAGTGTTGCTAACCGTTGACACTGGATGGGATGCATTAGAAATGAACCACTGGCTCGCTTTGGTAACAAGTAAGTGAAGGCGAGAACCCGGGCCTGCTCTGCTACAGCTGGCACGATGGCTAACGACCCCGGATCAGACCTGGCCGAGTTGAACGAGCCTCTCTTCTCGCTGATCGAGAACGTCCGCCAAACCGGTCTGCAAACCGCACAGAAGATGTATGGGGCAGCCGGCGCGGTTTGCCATCACAACACTGACATCTGGGGCGACTCGGCACCAGTGGACAACTGGGCGCTCTCGACGTGGTGGCCCACCGGGCTCGTCTGGCTTGTCACGCACATCCACGACACCTATCTCTTCACGGGCAACGCCACTCTTCTAGAGAAGAAGTACGACACGCTGGTCGACGCCGCGGCATTCTTCCTGGATTTCATCACCCCGTACAAGGGGTGGATGGTCACAAACCCATCCGTCTCCCCCGAGAACGTGTATCGCATACCCAACGGGGGGGGGGGAACGGCTGCCATGACAGCCGGCCCAACCATGGACAACTCCCTGTTGCGGGCGCTGTTCTCGATCGTGCTGGAGGCCCAGTCCGTCCTGGGCAAAAAAGACACGGCACTCGCCGACCGGTTGGAGGCGGCACGGGCGAGTCTCCCACCGCTCATGGTCAGTAAGCGGTACGGAGGCATCCAGGAATGGATCGAAGACTTCGAAGAGACCGCGCCGGGCCACCGTCACCTCTCCCACCTCTGGGGCCTGTACCCGGGCCACGAGATCACCTCGGCCAACGCCACCTTCTTCGAAGCGGCGCGCAAGTCCCTCAACCGCCGACTGTCGTTCGACACCGATCCCGCCGGGTGGAGCCAGGCCTGGGCCATCGCCATCTCGGCGCGGCTGTTTAATGCCACGGGCGTCGCCCGCATGCTCGACGTCCTGTTGACGACCAGCACCCACGCCAAGAGTCTGCTCGGGGATCTGTCGCCGGCGCCGTTCCAGATCGACTCGACCTTTGGACTCACGGCCGGGATCGCGGAGGCCCTGCTCCAGAGCCACGAGCTGGTGTCGCCGTCGTCGTCGAAGGCGCCGGACGCCGCCAGCATGAAAGCCACAACGGTGGGCAACCCGAGCGGCGTTCCGCTCGTGCGCTTGCTGCCTGCTCTACCCAAGACGTGGGCGCAGACGGGGGGAGGCTCCATCACGGGCCTGCTAGGCCGTGGCGGGTTCGTAGTTGATATCTCCTGGGACGAGAAAGGGCAGCTTGTCAACGCCACGATTGTGTCGAGGAATGGAGGTCCGGTGTGGTTGACTCTAGGAACCGCGGCGATCGGTAAGGGGACAACGGAGGGCACTCCCACCATCCAGGTGAATGAGAAGAAGGGCTCGTTTGTCTACTTGGAAACAGAGGTTGGGGGCAGCCATACAGTGAAGATGGCTTAGGGCGTAGCGATTGAGATCGTGATAACGGTCTTACGAAACGAGATTTGTACGAGTGGGGAATAAAGTAGACCTTTTACCGACTTGTATATATACTCGAGATGAAAATGCTAAAATGTGAAAATATACCACTTCAAGATCCAACATCAGACACATTACGCGTAAGCTAAAAAAAAATAATAGATATCCAATCCCACGAGAATACATGGTTAAGAATTGATATCCATCCAGCACCCTTCTCAGATACGCCCGAGTAATTCCTATCGCAACTCTGAATAACAGTGCAAAGATAACTAGGAATAATGAAGACTGCATCGAGAGGGTACCTTTCAGGGTAAAAAAATCGAGACCAGGATGTGGTTGAGACAAAGCTATGAGATGCAAGCATCGACAACTGGGTACACGGAGGATGGATTGACAGAGCGAAAAAAGGAGAGCGGGAGCTGAAGGGAAATGAAAGGGACGGCTGCATAATAAAGACGGACTCGAGAATCACTTGAGGATATACAAGCTGTCCGAGTTCAATGCTGGAAGGCCTACAATAGATCATGTCTCCCTCTCATGGTGGATGGACAGACTACAAGCAATCTATGACTTTCTCGACACTGCACATCAATGCCGGCGACTGAGCTTTGTGTATGCGGCCGACGTCGCGCTTAACGATCATTCGCCACTTCTGGGAATTTTCAAGATTCTGACGTTATTCTTATTCTAACGTTGACTCTTGCCTCTCAATCACTTTCCGTTGCTGCTGCCCACTCCATTGCTTATATCTCTTGATCTTTGGGTTGCCAGTCGCAGGAGTAGCCCAGGCCGAAAAATGGAAGCGAGGTCATCTCACTGCCTCCACGCTAGCTTCGATATACGTCCCAGTATCTCTCCCTTTACCATGGAAGTGCACTTTCTGCTCGCCCTGGTGGCATCAGCTGCAGAACCTTCACCCAACCACCCAGTCGAGCCCGCTCGCGAGAAGTCGGGGTCGAACTCGGTTCTCGATTTTTGAATATGGCAAGGGTCGCTGGACTTGTGGTCGTGGAACTCGCAGGGCTTGAATGTGGTCTCCTGGGCGGATAAGTGGAAGTAGGGGGCGTTCATGAGCTGCATGTTAAGCAGGTCTTGCATCACGCCCGGGTTCAGGTCGTAGACGCTGATGATGGGATCGAGAGTATTGGCTTGATCTGGGAGTGTACCCGGTTCAAAATATTGAGCGATTTGCGCGAAATCGTCGGGCATTTCACCTGGTAGGCTGAATACCCCATCTGTCCCCTGTTCTATTCCCATTCCGGACGGAATTGCGCATCTGAGGAGGTTCAGTTGTATTTCGGCTGGCTAGGGTAAAATTTGGTGGAAGAGTGAAGAGCCGCGGCTGAGTTTCTCGCTGTCAATCTCGAATACTTTCATGTTTGTTCCCTGGCCGACCTGGAACCATATCCATCTATTCGCGGGCGGGCTGGTCAAGGAGTGTCATTTCAGTAGACCGTGCTGAGCTGGACTCGAAACGGATTGATGTGAAAACTCACCCGACTTTGCAGGCTGGAAGTGCAGAGAGCATATCAAGCTCTATATGCAGATGTTATATTGATATTGGGGCGAAGTCTCAGACACGGAGTTGACGGACAGAATAAGTGATGTTGAGACGGGAGAAGAATTCCAGCCGAGAAAGAGGAAGAGCATGTAAAGTACGGACAAGTAAAGTACAGTACAGTATAGTACAGTACAGTACAGTACAGTACAGCACGGTAATCAAGTCAGGTAAGCACGAATCGAGTGGTAACTTGTCAATACATCAGAGGTACCGGTAGAGCTATCGTGAGACGCGTGGGAAAGCGCCAACGACCCTCGGCTAGGGCCGCTAAACAAAACATAACAAAACAAACTAATGTAAAAGACAAAATAGAAACGAACGAATGATCACCGCCCTCGAAATCACTTCTCGGCCGTTAGGCATGAACATGGTGATAATGTGGCTTCAGATGCGCAGAGAAGCTCCTTCATCGAGAAAATCGGGAACGATCCGAGCCGGCTCAGGGGTCAATCCCGAACGGACCTGGCTTGGCGGTATTCTTGTCACGTGACCCGATCACTTTTCACCACGTCCATAAAGTTACCTAACCTTAAGTACCGGTAGGTACCGTCGTCAGTACATTAGCCAGGAAGGTAAAAGTTTGTATATGTATAAATATCTATATACGCAAACGTATACCGGTATGTGCATGAATCCGTAGATATCCGATGTTGGTACCGGTCGTTTGAGATGTCGAGAAAAGACGTCACGGTTGTCCCATGTTTTCTGGGGGTTTGTTTTGGAGATCAGCTGACAGGACAGATAACAGACAGGATAGGGGCTCGCGCAATCTTATCCACGGTAATGCAAGTGCAACTTGTTTCTACTTAAGTAGAATCTTCACTTTCCCCATCAAGCAGTGAGACCTCACATCTTTCATCTTTCAGCCTCCTCCTCCTCTCCAACTCAACAACCATAACAACCATACCAACAACAACAACAACAACAACAACAACATCCTCTCTTTTCCCCTTCAACTACGAATGGCATGTCTTCTTTACTGAATACTACCTGATCCCCTGGCCTCCTTGTTGTTCGGTCACCTAGGTATACATCGATACCTATACCTCTCCCTCACTCCCTCTCTCCCTCTCTCCCTCTCTCCCTCTCTCCCTCTCCCCCCCTCTCCCGCTCTCCCTCTCTACCTTCAACCGCTCTACCATCCCTACTACCAGATGTTACCACGAACTCCTCTGCAGCGCTGGCTTGCCGCCGCCGCGGGCCTCTTCGTCGTGTTCTGGTTCTGGCCCAATTTTGCCGATTTCGCATCCCTCTCCGACTCCTCCTTCGGCAGCTCATTCACGACCTCGGGCAGCCACGGCGGCGCCGACGACCTCTCCTTCGTCAAGCAGGCGTTGAAGGACCACAAGATCGGCCCCGACATTGAATATGCCTCGCGCACCATCCGCTACGTGCCCGACCAGACCGAGCGCAAATCCATCACGGAGATCGACGACAACCTCTTCCCCGACTCCTTCTCCAACATCACTATCAGCAAAATGGCGTCCCTGCCCGCCGGCCGAGTGGTCAATGTGCACATCAAGCAGTCGCCGCGCCCCGACCAGATCGATGCCTCCGAGATGCTGTTTGCTGCCTCGACTACCTATGCCCGGTTCAAGGATCAGAAGACCTCCCCACTCAAGGAGTGGAAGCGCTGGCTCACCGACGGCAACGGCCATTCGAATGGGGCAGGCGTGATCCTGGCCTTGTTTGAGACTTCGGACGGGGACCTGGTCGCCGCGGCGGAGACGCTCGAGTCGGCGGGCATCAATGCCACTGTGGTGCACTCGAATCCCGACCTCAACATGGCCGGGAGATACGTCGACCTAGTCCACAAGCTGTACAATCATCCGACCCGGCCGCATCGAAAGTACCTGGTCCTCATGGACGACGACACGTTCTTCCCGCGTATGCACGACTTTCAGGAGCACCTGTCCCAGTATAATCCCGAAAACCCCTTCTACATCGGTACCTTCACAGAGCGCGCCGACTGGTTCCTGAGAAATAGAGCCCCATTCGCATACGGCGGGGGTGGCATCATCCTGACTGCGCCAACTGCCGAGAAGGTCGTATCCCTACCATGCCTGGATAAGGAGGAGGGCAAGATGGGAGGGTTTGTATGGGACTCCGACCAGGGAGACAGACTACTCTACAACTGCTTGTCCAACTTGACGGACATCTCGCTCACTTATATGCCCACACTTCACCAGGCCGACCAGTTCGGCGATCCATCCGGTGTCTACGAATCCGGCCACACCATGCATTCCATCCACCACTTCAAGTCCTGGCATCGCTTCATCCCGGACCAGATGCACGTGGTATCCGACGCCTGTGGGGAAGCTTGTGTGCTGCAAAGATTCCAATTCAAGGATAACTACATTGTCACCAACGGTTACTCGGTTGCGCATTATCCTCAGGGGATCGATTTTGATCCTTTGCAGATGGAGCATACCTTCAGCGCGGGCGGTCACGGTGAGAAAGAGCCGGACCTGGAAGACGTTACGTTCAACATGTTCTACGGCTCGTTGCGCAAGAATTTGGCGCACACAGGCAAGAAGAAGGGGTGGCAACTACTTGCAGCCCGCAAAGAAGGCGACGGGCGAGTGAAGCAGGTATATTTCAAGAGCTGGGGCGACGACCGATGGATTGGGCCCGGTGAGAAGATTCCGGCGAAGGAGGATGGTCCCCGAGATAGCATCGCGGTTTTGACTTGGATACCTTAATGGGCAGCGGATGGACGAGAAGATACGATAGACTTGCCTTTGGCCACGATTCCATGATAGCGTTTCCGCATATGCATACGTATGCGCGGCATTGGGTGTACACTGGGATGGCGTTTGGGATGGCTGCATTTCTGTGCCGTTGTGTGTGTATGATATATAGATTTTTCTTTTCATCTGGCTCTGGCTGGGCTGTGGAATGTCTGCATTCGGACGCCGAAACTCTCACACCATGGGATGTCTATATTCAGGGAAATAATCTACTATCATCTGAGACGAAATTCTTCTCCTAGGACTCGGACCCGTGTTGTTTGCGTCTTCGAGGACAAGAACGGACCTCCAGGCGTTCGTACAGATGGAGATGGGTAGAAACAGTTGATATGTCAGCGGGATTCCATCTACAGTATCTCCTTCGAGATGTGACAGCCTCATATGTTGCACCAAGCAGTCAGAGTTATTCCCCCTGATCGACCCGCGACCCCGGATTTTCGACGCGCCGAGACTCCTGAAGGGCACCATAACTGTGCGTAAAATATGCAACCAGTCTGCCGCCAGTCTGCCGCCAGTCTGCCGCCAGCTAGCTACCCAGCTAACCAGCCAGCTAACCAGCCAGCTAGCTGGCTAGCTACTCAGGCCCCCTTACGAGACCTCCTTCACCACCCGTGGACTATTGACATCTCCAGTCGCCGTCCTCCTCGTCGCCCTCATCCTCCAGCTTCACCAGAATTCCCTCCTCCCCATCACCATGCCGGTGCCGCCGCCGCCGCGGCCCAGAGACCCCAACAACATCTCGGCCATGGTCCGCGAATCCCCCCGCCTCGACATGTCAATTCCGATTGACCCCGCCGGCGTCGCAGGGAAGACAATCATCATCACCGGCGGCGCATCTGGCTTCGGCGCGGGCTTCTGTCGAGAATGGGCTCGGCACGGCGCACATATCATCATCGGGGACGTCGCGGACGAGCTGGGCCGATCTCTCGCGGCAGAGATAGCTGAGGACAAGAGCGTGGCGGGCACGGCGCACTACGTGCACTGCGACGTGACGAACTGGCAGTCGCAGGTCGACTTGTTTCGGGAGGCGGTCAAGCTGAGTCCGCGGAGGATGATCGATGCCGTGGTCTGCAATGCGGGCATTACCGACTCGGGGACCCCCTTCACGGAGCCGGAGGGCATGGATAAGGAGGAGCCGCCAAAGCCTGCCTTCAAGACGATCGATGTCAACCTGACGGGCGTGATGTATTCGGCGCATCTGGCGATGCATTATCTGCCGTTGAACGACGGGAGGGACCGGCATGTCATGTTGATTGGGAGTCTGGCCAGCCTGTTGCCGGTTCCTTTCCTGGTGCAGTATGCGGCTAGTAAGCATGCGGTTTTAGGCCTGTTTGTGAGTTTGATATCTACTCGAGGCGACGAGTGAGGTTGGGAGAGATGAGGATGAGATGGGAGAGAGAGGGAGAGAGAGAGAGGAGGGAGAGAGAGAGAGAGAGAGAGAGAG